AAAAAGATTTAAAAAAAACTGTAGAAATTCCCCCATCAATGAATTCCATACAGACTTCTCAAAGCAATACCATGAATACATTCGCATCTGAAATCTACCCTCCCACCAATTCCACCGACAGGAGAATTACATCTACTTCGTCTTCCTTACTGGTTTCCTCAAGGCTTTCAGAAAAATTATAAGCATTTCTAGGCATACAGGATCCCCCAAGACACTTTTTTGATGCTCTGGAGACGTTTTAAGCCACTCCTGGCAGGAAGAACCGAGCAAGAAATATGCAGCACGAAAGTCAGCTTCTTCAGGAATTTGTGAAATGTTAATGCAAGCAAAGCCTCCAGAGTTGGAAGCAGTCTTGATTCCCTTTTAAAATAAACTTTCTCCAGCAGACACACATATAAATAAATATGTGTGAAATCATATTCTCTTAACTGTGCAACACACCTATTTCCACACTATTAGCATCTGTTGAAATCTCACTTTTGTTATGTATGTTGCTATGAAACAGTCAAGTACCAAGAGGTCCTTTTGAGACAAGCTATAACACACAGTCACACCGCTGGGCCCAAGGGTGCACTTCTCTTTGCTCAGCTGTATTCCCACAATAGCTTTCTTGCTTCATTTTAAGAAACTGGAACCTCAGCGCTGTAATCCAGAGTGAGGGCTGGGGCATATACTTGCTCCCACAACTGTGCTAAGAACAGCTTAACTTGGTTAATTTAGTACTGGCTAAATAGAGTTCTCACCCAAAGCACAAATGATCAAGCTCAAACTATTGTATTTTGGTCAAACTATCCCATGTGGACCGTTATGCCAAGACCCAGCTCTCTGGAGAAGGCTCTAATGCTGGGAAAGGTGGAAAGAAAGAGAAGAAGAGGATTCCCATGTGGACCGTTATGCCAAGACCCAGCTCTCTGGAGAAGGCTCTAATGCTGGGAAAGGTGGAAAGAAAGAGAAGAAGAGGATGACCAGCAGTAAGGTGGAGGGACTCAGTTACAATGGTGATGGGGGCACCATTGGAAGAGCTGAAGGACCAGGTTGGGGGATAGATCATCATGGAGAAAATCTATGTGGTCACTAGGGGTCAAAAACAACTTGATGGCACTTAATCAATCAACACGAAGACTTAGTTCTCTGGAGAAGTCCATAATGCTAGAAAAGGTGGAAGGAAAGAGAAGAAGAGCATGACCAACAGCAAGGTGGGTGGATTTAGTGACAGTGGCAGTGGTTGCACCATTGGGAGACCACCCAGATAGACCTTCTCAAGGACAATGTGTCCCCAACCTGGCCCTTCAGGACATATCATTCTGGAGAAGATGTATGTGGTTGCTAAGAGTCAACACCAACACAATAATCTTGTGAACTCAGCCACCAGAATTTGCAAATCCCCGTGTTATGGTGTCATGCTGTACTCAGAATCAGCAGATGCCATTTATCCAAGAAAACACACTTTGGCCCCATGGTGAATCAGGTCACAGACTATTATTTCGCAGATGTCCTTCTAACCAAGGTTTCTAAGGGTGACACACCCTAATGATCCAAAGAGCAGGACTGATCTGTGGCTTCCCTTCCCAGACGGGCAAGAGAACTCTCACATCATTTTCCCCGTAACGAAAATGCCCACGATACAAAAGGCCTCTGAAATGCCCAGATGAGAACAGAACAAACGAATACTCGACCAAAAGGCATACCCAGTGTTATAAAGCAGGAAATTTGCCTGTGTGAGTCAGCCGTTTAGGGCAAGTTAAATAAAAGCACTGCTTTCAGAGATCACTTGTCCCCTTTTCCTTTAAGGTTTACTTAAACACAGCCACGGTTGGACGTTTCACAGGACAAGATGACAGGGCCTCCAGCTATGTTACGATGCGGTCTGCCAGGTTTGGCTTCGCACGCCGTAGGAACCGAGCCAGGGGCCGCCTTCACACAAACTCACCAAGCTGGCATTTACTAAACCACAGTTTGTTGAATAAGCCACAAACAGCTAGCTTCACACGTGCCCCAGTCCAAACTAAACAAACCATATTGGCGCAGCGTGCGGATCCAACTGTGAGAATAAAGCCAGTTCTTTGAGGAGCCAAGATCCGTGTTTCCTGCATATATTCACAGTCCCTGACTGCGGTTATTAAGATCAGTTGCGGGCCCCAGATGGCATCTCAGCTTAATCCAAACCTTGCCTAAGTTTTCCTACATTTGGAACGTTACAGAACAATTTGTACCAGTAGATCATTTGGTACTGTACACAGAAACCTGGGACAACTCACACTCGCCTGCGCTGAAAGTTTCATTTCAGCAGATGAGAGAGGCTTAGGAGAAAATACCTAACAGCTGTAGGGCCCAGCTGCATATTTTCCAATTCCCTTGGATTGCATCTATCCTGCAGCAGCCAATCTATAAACAATCTTTTAGAGCTATTTCGAGACATGCCATCGCCCTAAATGCAGTAGTCACATTTAGGTCACCAGATGGTGTGGAAGGGGACAAAGAATGTCTCGCCTAGATGTTGCCCAACAGAAATGTTCAAAGCTTATCCTGTTGACCCCCAAAGCTCTTCATCGGAGGGGGTCCCATTGCAGGAGAGTTCAGGAGCCATAACGGCTAACCAGACTGTTGGCCAGGAAACCGGTGTTGGGTAGGTACGAGGATCCGGCGTGAGGATCTCCAAATAACATGCAGGATGAAATCCAACCCAACTTGTTTATGACTGCAAGGAGGACACATCCACGTGTCTTTGCCCAGGGAGCGCCCTCAGCGCTTGTCCCATTAGGACTTTTATACAATATTCAAACAGGGAGGAAAAATACGATTGGTCAAAATTTGATACAAATCACACCTGCATATAACACCTTGCCTATCCCATAATATACAAGTGGGGGTGCAATTATAATTATAATAACCTAGGAGGTGTGATTTTAGGGTCCTTTTGTCATAAGGTCATGGTGGTTCACCAGTCCAACCGCAGAACTGGTCTTGTCTGGTTCTGACCATTAGTCCTGGGCTTCCCTCACTTTCGTAACTCCCTTTTCTGCCCAGCAGCAGCCAGTACAGGCCATCAATACTGGCTGAAGACATGGGGAAGGCTCTCAGCCCTTCGAAGTGGGCCAGGTCAAGAAGTAGACACTGCAAGTTTCTAGGATTGCTACTTGATGGTTGTAGGGTATAATAAAGGAATCTTGAAAGTTCTGAGTTTCTCTCTGTCCCAACTTCTACTAAACCAAGCAAGGAGGGGCTGTTTTGAGTTTCTCCTCACACTTCCTTCTGCCATCATACAGATGAGCTTCTTCTGTACGATTAATCCAATTCCTACAATTAGCTAGTTTCAAGTCTCATATGGGCCAACCTGATGTGGTTGTGTTGCCACAACTGCACATCTATCCTTATTGCTAATGTTAGCAATAGCCCAACTGTGGTTTGTTTAGCTCTGTCAACACCGTGTGTGGCTCCAGCGGCTATGGTTGAGTCATCCTGGCTTAGCATGTGGTACAGGCCCCATCAATTACAGTTTGTGGTAACTAATCCTTAGGCCAAACTATAAACTAGGGTAGACGCAGCCATAAACCAGTGTTGCCAGCTTAGCATTTCTAAGGCTGGGTTCATTGAACGCAAAAACCATCATGTGGTTGTTTGGTTTTGGCTTCAGTTGTCATGTGAATCCAGCCAACTGTGGTTTACGCAGATTCTGTATGAATGTAATAGAACAAACTTTTTATGGAGCAAGAAGGTTTTAAGTGGATCTCTTCTGGAGATGTTTGGACAGTCAAAAGCATCCCAAGGATAACATAGGGTTGATCCATCCAAATCACATTTCCTCTTCATTCAGGGATACTTCTGCAATTCTCCAACATTTTTTCTGGAGAACTAGAGTTCTGGGAATATCAAAAAGCTAAAAATATACACTGTTTATGATATCACTGGTCACTAAAATATCTGAAAGAAAGTACTGAGAGGCATCAAGAATAAGTTAAAGGGAAATATGCATCTTCTTGTTGAAATGGTAGGAAGTTCACGGTCTTCTGTGCAATGAATCAAACTGATAAATTACAGATATTCTCCTATAAGGCCCAGGCAAGATCAATCTATATAACTGAGCATTCCAAGGGTTTTCAAAGCTCTCACATTGCCCCTTGCACATTAAATTTAATAACGAGTATTTTCATATTCAGGATGCAAAAATCATCTCAACCATCTACACTTTTCAACCTGGGCTTCAAAAACGATCAAGGCTGCTCTTAGCCATTAATGAGAAACTTAAGCAGCTGTTATATTTAGTTATAGAAACAACTGCACCCAAAAGGGCCAGTGGGAGACTAGAAATCTGAGAATATTTGCTTTCGTTCAGAAAGAAAATTTTAGTCTACAAGGCTAAGGATACAGAATTTCTAGGTTCATGTCCTGAAATTCAAGACGCAGATGCAAGAAAACTGCTTTTCCTGCAATTACCGACTCTAAAATATTTCAGTTGCTTAGAATATTTGCAAGGGACCCTTTTATAAAAGATGTCAAAAGCTGAGGAGAAATGGGAAAGTGTCTCAAAAAATTGCACTCCAATTATTAGGCAAATCCAAATGAGTTTGTCACAAGTACATACTTTAACCAACGTCAAGAATGACAAACAAATCGAGAAAATAGTAACACGATGTCCCCTATAAAACAGACATTATACATCAAAAATACAAACATTAAAAAAAACCCAAACCAATAAAAATAAAAAACGTGTAGGATCACTCTCCCTACAGATACACACATTCTAAACTTGAAAATACTTGCCTACGCTCAAAGGAATTCTCATTATAGATCAGCTAAGAATTGAAAGTTGATCCCATGGGACAGGATAAGGGCAAAATCTACATTCAGACATCAACAAGGGAAGGCAGTAAAAGAAGATCACATTTTAATCTGATAACAGATTCCACTTGTGGAGGGGGTGTTCAATAGTCTTCTAAGTACTGATCACACCCACTTATTTTTTCCTACGTTTGTACCATGGTGGAAGAAAATGTACTAACCAGTATTGCCCACGTGTTCTCGTGATACGATTACTCCTTGTATGCACAGAGTGTGCATTCCAAACAAACACCTCGAATAATACAAAGTTCACTTCTCTGCACAGAGCTTCTTCGTGCATGAAAAAATATATGTGTCAGCCCACTTAGTAGACCATGCCAGAAAATCAGCTCCACGGTAAATCTCTTCTACTGAGATTGGCTATAAAAACAGAATTTTGCAATCCTGATTGTGCTGCATCTCCTCCCCCTTCTTATATTTCATTAAATCAGGGAGGCGTCTGTCTGAGCCACTTCCGAATGTTATCTCATCGCTCGGGATTTAAAACATGTTTCTGCCCCTTTTGCTTAGGTAAAGGTTCCTGCATATTTCCATCAAGGTCATCTTCCTGACTCTACACCATTCAATGCTGACTTCTGACTGGCTTCGTTTTGAATGAAACAGCACTCCGAACATGCACGTTCTGCCCTTCAATAAATTAGAGACGGAGTGTCCATCTTGTGAATGCTGTTCAGAACTTGGAGGTGAACTGTTAAGAGAAGAATAAGCCAGCATCCTTAAATCATGTGCAAACTGGGAATGCTAGCTTGTTCTTCTCTTAACAATTCATCTCCTCCTAGATCAGACCATGGAACTTCTAGTATCAAAGGTGGCATATTCCTGAATAACAGCTGCTGGTGAACGCAAGGAGAAGGGTGTTCCTGAATTTACATCCTGTCTCCTGGGCTTCCCACAACACCCAGTGGATTGGCCACCATGAGAAGAGAAAGCTGAACAAACCATGTCATCTGGGCTCTTACTCTGCTCTTTTCCTTTGCTCTTCCTGAAAGCTGTTCACCCTCAGTTTCAGCGTCCATTAAGCACCACTTAAGAGATGTTGGCCAGAAGAGAGTCCAACTGGATGCAATCGCGTTGATGCTTTGTTGGGGTTTTTTAAAGGAACACTTAGAACATCACACCACAAAGTTTCGAGAACCTCCAAAAGGAAACCGAATAAACCCAACACAGATGTTCACCCAAGACATAAATACGAGTCTTTGTACTTCATAGCAACTAAACAGGTTGAGCTATTTCCTTCTTCGGGTGACTCTCCAAGGAGCAGCAAAAAAGAAGACCAAAAACCCGACGCACACATGGCTTTCTCGTGAATGGTGTGTGTCTGCTGCCAAGAAAAAGAAAACGCAGCGGTGCCAAACAACATTTTGCTTTATGGAGCATCTGTTAGCTCAAGTGGGGGAACAGGGATGTCAAATGTCTAAGTAAAAAGGCAGAGATTAATAGGGGTGGTCACGGGGGAAAGGAGGAGGTCCAAGCTGCAAGGTGAATCACTCAGAAACAGGACACGCCAACATTTAAGCTGCTGCTGCAAACTTTTCCTTACCCTGTGCATATGTATGCATATTACATCAGGCATGGTTCTTCTGTAGATGTCTCCGCAGTCCAAGAAAGGACGGTTGTTGGCAAGAGATGAAGCCGACAAATGTTTTCTCATCTCCGGTCTGCTTACCTGGGTGTCTCACACACCATATCAGACACCCAAACTCTGTACTGTGTTGACAAGCTAGCAAAAAGCTTAGTGACCTCCTTATTAACTAACACTGATCCTTCAGCAACAACAAACCCGCTCTTCTTCTCTGCCGCTCCATCATTCTCCAGCTCAAGTCAACAAGACAACTGAACACAACATCGAAAGGTGGCAAAACGTGTTGATGGGGGTGTATAGTTTTGGATTTGGGGACGTTAGCCTTTTTCTGCACACAAAAATGCTATACCAAGGGTTTAGCGTGAATTATTTAACATTAATTTGACTAATTCAAGGCATGTTCTCTGCACTGGGGCCATATTCAAATGCAACCCTATGTCGGAATTTGGTGAGCACATAAAAAAACCAGTGGAGCTTCCAGAGCACCATCAGGGCCACCATCTTGACTTTTTTGACTGCACCCTGGAGACACCCCTGGCATCGTGTGCTAAATAAACCACCGCTGACTATGTTCGCAGACGGTGCTAAGTCATAAACTATGGCTTCTGTAAACTAAAATGGTTAGAATGCACAACAGAAGCCAGAAATAAGCCACCCAAATGGGTCTTTAGCACTCAGTTCAATGGCCTGGCTTATCCATCAGACTAGACCATGGTTGTGTTATCCATGGTTTGTTGATTAAGCCACAAGGGCTGGATTCAGCCAACATATGAAGCAAAACAAGCGAACTAAAGGGTGTCATACCCTTTTTCCACAAGGAAAAATTAAAAAAAAAAAATCAAGAGAGCACCCATGTCTGTGCAACTAAAGCCCCACTTGTTTTTCATGTGCATTGCACATGCTACACCCACAAAAAAGCAAGCCATTGATTGTGCAATTGATTTTTTTTTACTCCCCCGGGAACATCCCCGGCACCATTCCCGTTCTGTATCAACCAGACCTATTTCTTCTGCCCTTAAGAGCATCTTCTTCCAAAAATAGCATCTCTTTATACCCTTTGCAGTTTCCCATTGCTGTGTTTAAAAATCCTCATTCTTTCTTTTTTACATGAAGAACCAACCCCCCCCCCATTCAAGAGTGCAAAAGAACCACCAATAAATAAATAAAGCTGAAGAAGTTTCGGATGACACAGACGATTCATAAACAAATGCCGTATTTATTTTAAAAAGGGAAGAAAAGAGAACAAGTTCCCCAAAGCAGCTGCAGTTGAGTCTCTGTTTCAAGCAAGCAAAAATAAATAAATGAAGGATGTGCAGGATACTGGATCACTGAGGCCATATTATACAAGGAATCTGAATTCAGGAAGTGTTCTTACTCAGTGTCAGGGTGGCGTTTGGTTCTGAAAACAAATCCCTTGCTTGCCATTTTAAGAGAAAGAAAGAAAGAAAGAAAGAAAGGAAGGAAGGAAGGAAGGAAGGAAGGAAGGAAGGAAGGAAGGAAGGAAGGAAGGAAGGAAGGAAGGAAGGAAGGAAGGA